TGCGGGGGGCTGACTTATGGGAGAGAAGGACAATCCCTGGTTGTCTCCTTGTGGACGACATTTGTCCCTGGACAGCTTTCTTCATCTTGTCTCTCTGACTCACACTATCTGAACAAAAACATTCCTCCTGTCACCTTGTCATCTATCTACACTGCCAAATAATCTTCTTTCAAGTTCCTGCCACTTATGTAGACCATGTGGAGTATACTTTTGAGAGGGGATAGGCTGTTCAAGTGACAGCAGCAGTTCAGGGAGTTTTGTGGGTGAATATTAAGGGTCATCTGTTCCCAGGGCCATTGGTGACTGTGGCCTCCATTAATGGGCAGCGGACAGCATAGATGACCGCTATGTCCCTGAGGGTAGGAACCAAAAACCCTCAGGAGCTCAGGCAATCAGGCCACGAGCTGCCCAATCAGGGGTTGGCATGCATAGGCGCCAGGGGCATCCCAGGGGACCAGCCACAGGCTCCAGGGCCTCACATCCTTGCTGCTCCTCCTGGGGTGTGGACTTTGGATGGGCATAAATAAGAACTGGGATGTTTTCCGAAAGGAGTGTGGGGGCAGGAGTAAGGTGGGGAGGAGGCAGGGCTGAAAGAGCAAGCTTTCTTAAGTGCTTCCAGGCCAGAGAAACCCATGTGGTATGCAGTGTCCACACCTTTGCTTCAATAGCTTGCCCAGTTCTGTCAGTGTCTTTTCTAGAAGGTGGGGCATGAGGTCAGGAAAAGAGGGGGCTTCCTCCTCAGCAGGAAGCCCAGACCACTGACCCTGCCATAGGGGAGGGCCCTGCCTGGACAGGCCCTTCCCACTGCAGGTTTCTCACCCTCTTTGACGAGAATAGGCCTTGGCAAGAGGGGAGTTTAGGGCACAGAGATGTGGGTACAGCTCAGCTTGTGACCAGAGGGAAATGGCAAATTGGGAACTCAGATACCACAGAGGTCCTGCGGTTCCCTCAAGAGCTACCCCAGGCTCAACCAAGTGAGCTGGTAAGCAACTAAGTTCTGGCAAAGGGACCTTCATACAAACAATAAATACTAGGGAAGCCACATTCTCGATTCAGGAATAACAGCAGGATATGGTGACAAGTGCTCAGATGAGAAAGGGTTAAGGCAGACTGGTTTGCTGTTGCTGACTCTTCTTTCTATTTTGCTTCTCAGATCAGTGATTTAGCTTTTCTTACCCTCTCAGCCCAAAGAAATATCATGCTTTGACTTGTGTTTGCTTGTTCAAAGAATTTTGGACAAAGATGGGTGTAAATACTCTCATCTTGCCCTCAAAACAAATGCTGTGGGGGAGCCAAGGAGGCTTATCTTGGCTGTTTCACCTCTGCTTCTCCAGGTGCAGGGATGAAGAGTGGGGACCTGTGGCCCTAGGCTGCATGGGGGGCTCTGCTGTTGTGGCTCACTTGCTGACCGATGTGTGTGCAGTGGGGCTCTCCGCTGAGGCCAGGGGACAGCTTGAGGCATCCCAAATGAGTATGCGCACAGAGAACTCCCAAGAGGCAGCCCCGTTGGAAGGCTCTCCTGGGAACATA